TATGAAGTAGTTTCTCTGAATGTGGCCAAATGCTGTAGGCAAAATTAGGCAGACTCTAACTGCCCTCTGATAATCCACTACCAATCATAATATATTGTCTGCCATTTATTTTTAAATTTATTATTATTGTTTATAATGCTTTTGTTTGTAATGTTGGTCAATCAATAAAAATTGATTGATTGTGTAGTTGCACTTTCCAGATTTAGGTCCTAATGAAGATGATCAATTCAGTTGAACATTGATTGTACAGATACAGATACATTGTCTCTGTCTAATAACAAGCCTTAAGGGCCCTCTGCCACTAAGAAGAGGGAGTCAAGCAATTCTCCAAAATCAACTGTTTCAGAGGTGGGATTCAGCAGGTACTGACCAGTTCTGGAGAACCAGTAGCAGAAATTTTGAGTAGCTTGGAGAACCAGCAAATACCACCTCTGACTGAAGATTTTACAGCATCCTTCCCCTGCCATGCCCACCAAGCCACGCCCACAGAACCGGTAGTAATTTTTTTTGAATCCCAGCACTGACCTGAAGGCAGGAAAAGAAGCCATGGATGGAAACTAATCAAGGAGGGTAGCAGCCTAGAACTAAGACAAAATTTCCTGACAGAGCAATTAATCAGTGAAACAACTTGCCTCCAGAAGCTGTGGTGCTCCAACACTGGAGACTTTTAAGAAGAGATGGGGCAACCATTTATCTAAAATGGCATAGGGCTCCTGCTTGGGCAGGGGGTTGGACTCCTCCAAGGTTCCTTCAAACTCTGTTATTCTGTTAAATGGGTCTCAATATTACTCATCCAAGGTTTCACAAGGCTGCTGCAGTGAACATTTCTTTAGATATTAATATGCATGCAACTGAATGGGGGAGAAGTTAATACACTTTCATCTGATAGTTTCCATTTCCTTCAACAAACCACATCCTATGGGTCACTTCATTTCTTCTAAAATTCTGGACTAAAACAATCCACCTCCTTCAACTCACCCCATAGTTTAAGAACTTTCTGGTTTTTCTCTCTTTTCTGCTGAGCTGTCTGAATACTTCAGTCCCTTTCTGTGATGCCATCAGAACAGGACATAGGTTAGAAATCTAGGAGTCCCTTAATCAGAATAAAAAATTGGTTCTTTCTATTCACCCCGCTACAATGCAGCAAAAACCGACTTACCTTGATTTTGAATATGCTGAAGCAAAATATTACATTATGTAAACAGAAAGTCCCCCTGAAACTATTGATCCTATTGGCTAATTGCGGCATGGATCGTGATCCCATCATACCTGAGCAGAGAGTATGAATCTCCTTTATCAGTCCTTGTGAGATTGCTTTAGATGCCTTTGCTTCCTGATTTCTTATACTGCATTATGAAGTTCTCTAGCTTTCCTTCCTCCACCACCCTCTTCCCTCGGGCTGAGAAGATGATGTAATTGTCACTACTTCTTGAAGAAAATCCTCATGGGACAATTGTAGTTTTTTCTTTAAATGGTTAGCTGTTTCTACTTCCAAGAGACTTGTTATCTCTCTCTCTCTCTCTCTCTCTCTCTCTCTCTCTCTCTCTCTCTCCCTCTCTCCCTCTGGGAAAAAAGGTTTTTAAAATATTTAGATTTTAGACTTATACATGAGAAAACTTTCATACCTTTAAGTACATATTAATGAGTTTGCCATTTCTGGTTAAATTAATAGAAACAAAGATGGATGTTAGTAACATTCTCCATTTTGTACTGCTACACAAGCGTCTACCTCAGGGCGGGCAATTTGATGCATATAATTATTTGGAGACTTTAGCTCTTCCCAGAATTTAAGAGTATCCATGATTCCTAGTTGTCCCTGGTTATGCAACTTTTTCTGGAGGGCTGAAATGGATGGTGTCACTTTCTGTTATTCTCCCACTCATTGCCATCCTCAGGACAAATTTTTAATGCTCCGTTTCTAATGTATAATTTCCATATTTCATCCCTGAATATTCCTATATTTTAGCACATTTGAGATTGTATGCTTCTCTTTTGACAAGCTAGCTTCAGCAATTCTTTGGCTGCTTTATAAAGAAAGAAACCCCTTCAACTGAGTCACTGCTTATGTTGCATTCTCTAATTATATCTTGTACTAACTTTTTACTAGCAGTAATGAAAAACAGAGTGGCTACTATGTGTTGCTGGCTTGAAACCTGGCAGACTTTTTTTAAAATTACCATTGTTCTTTTTCTATGCTAGTTTCCTCCTGAACTTTTGTTTGTTTGTTTAATAGGTGCATATTATTATACTACTTAGTTTCTTGAGAAAATGCATTACCTTTTAAAATGGAGCCAAACATGGCAAATGTCATTAAAATGGTACATGATTTGAATGGCCTAAAATTCTTTTTGGGGATGACATAAAAACTTTCCTTAGCTCATTTTGAGCTTGCTAGATTATCTTGATGATTCATCATGTGCCATCAAGTTGGTGTTGAGCTTAGCAACTACATAAAAAGATTTTCTTTCCATATCCTTGCCCTGGCCTTCTCCTTATCCATTCATCTACTGTTGGTGAAACTAGAGTGGAAGACTGTCATTAAACTCCAGGTCAGGTACCTCAACTGTTAAGGTATTGAGATTTAATAGCTGATCAGCTATTGTAAGGCTGATGCAATGGGAATGAATCAGCATGGTTATTGCTGCTTTATGACTGAGGATGAATCCACAGGGTTTTGCCACTTTAAGAAGCTGTCTATATATATGAGGCCATGAGAGGGAATACTTCTCTCTCCTTGTGTTCTGTCTCCATTGTGGCTCTCTGTGCAGAGTAAAGAAGACGGATTGCTTGCCAGGTATTTGCCTACCATGTATATGTACGTATATAGCTGTCTGTATATAAACCACTGTTAAAATACAAAGCCTCTGTGTGCTATGCTGTGTTCCTGGGTTGTCTCGCAATAGTAGTCATGCTGCAAACACACTGACAACAACACTTTTAATTTAGGAGAGGAAGAGCAGATAGGAGAAGCAATTCTTACATCTTGACATGAACTTCTAATGAAGTCAGAAACTTCTAATAAAGTCTAATAAAGAATCTTAATAAAGACGTGGCTTCTTCTTTTAGCCCACACCTAATACTAACCCTAATGATCCTTATACTGTCTTGGGGACAGAAAGGTTCCTGTTCACTATGTTTGATAGGAATTATAGAGATTGTGTTTTGATAGAGCAAGCAGCTGAGAAGATGTATCATGATGGATGACACTTTTATTATTACAGACCTTTGTTGTCATCGTTTCTCCCTTTCTACTATAATTCTGATATCATTATAAAGCGCCTTCTTGGGAATCTATAGCAATAAGATGGGAGGGGGAGTCCCTATCAAAATTAGAATAAAACTTTTTCTACACCTTCTTATTTAAGTCACTTCTGGCAATCCTCCTCCTCATCATTCCAGAATAGTGATGTCTTGAAAATGGTGCAGATCTTCAAAAAGGACTAATAGGCTATGACTGAAGCTTAATAGCTTAATAAAGGTAATATCAAATCAAGTGTTTAAGAAGTAAAAGAGTAAAAAAGTAAGAAGTAAAAAAGTTAAAACGGTACCACCCCGCTCTGGCTGAATGGCTCAAATGAAGTAAACTTTGTTTACTTTAAATTCCACAATTAAATAAATAGCACATACCTTCATGGGCAAGCATTTTGTTGTGGCTCACCAAGGAGAATATCTGGCCAGGTTTCTTAAACAAAAGGGGTAAGGCACAGTCATAAAAATGCACAAACTGCAAGAGCATAGGAACATGAATGCTTCAAGGACTGCTGTAAAAGTGTAGGATTTAAGAAACAAGAAAAAGGGAAAACATAGGTTAAAACTTGTTTTCCTTTTATTTGGATTGTAAATTAACATGCACACACACACACACACACACACACACAGTGGCAGAGAGACAGAGACAGGAGAGAGAGACAGAGAGAGAGAAAAAGCTACTGAGAGAGACAGACAAGACAGACAGAGACATGCAGAGAAAGAGACATGCAGGCAGAGAGAGACACAGAGAAAGACAGACAGACAGACACACACACAGAGAGAGAGAGAGAGAGAGAGAGAGAGAGAGACAGACAGAGACAGAGTAAGGGAGAGAGAGAGACAGACAGAGAGACAGAGAGAGAGAGAGAGAGAGAGAGAGAGAGGAGAGACACGCAGAGAAAGAGACAGGCAGGCAGAGAGAGACACAGAGAAAGACAGACAGAGAGAGACAGACAGAGAGACAGACAGAGTGGGAGGGGGGAGAGGAATGGCCTCTATAAGAAAAACAATGAATGAGGAAATAAGAGGATCATTGACTGATCAACCAGCTGGGGATATATCTGAGAATTTACAGAGGGTATTTGACAAGATAGGAAAAACTGTTGGACCATCTGTAACAGCAACCGTGACAGCATCTACAGAGGAGAAACTGGTGAATTTGGAAGAAATAATGAATAAGAAATTTGAAGAATAGGTAATACAGAATAAAGATGAGGTTCATTAAGTTAAAGAAATAGTAGAAATTTTAGAAACCAAGACTGAAGCAATAAGTTAAGACACAGAAAACAACTTAGATAATTTAGCACTGCCAAAATTGAGAGAGAAGGACTTTTGCTTGAAGTTAGACCCAGAAAAACCCAGGGAACTTATAAGGGACAGGATAGTTCAGTCTTGCAAATTTTTTGCAATGGGACAAAGAAAATATGGAAGCAGAATTGGATAATGTTTATAGAATTAATACAAGGTACACCAAAACTAAGAAATGTCCCCAAAGACATATTAGATATATTATTTTGTTAGGAAGAGAACATTGTACATCACTACAACAATTCTACAGCAACATTTTAATACAAAGTTAAAGATAAATAATTCTGATGTAATCCTACTTTAAATAAATACTTATTAAAATACTGCATAAAGGGAGAGTCTATAGCTTCCTGACTGACAAATTAAAGTAGAAGATACCATTTATGTAGAATAAATTGAAAGGACCGATTTTGACTTTTAAGCAACAGTGATTTTGATTTAATTCAGGTCAAAAGGTGAAAAACTTTTGGAAAGATGTTAAGGTTGAATTGGCAGAGATACCAAAAAGACAAACAGGGGCAGCTATGCAGTTGCAAGAAAATGAGAAAAATACCACTACTTTAGGTACCATTGATACGGACTTTTTGAAATGTATAAAAATGGAATTTAAATGCCTACCGTGGAATATAAATGGGGCAAGTGCCCTCCAGAGAAGAAAGAAGTTATTTCATTATTTGAAGAAATTAAAGTTGGATGTAGTTTGTTTATAAAAATACTTATAAGAAAGAGGAAAAAATTGTTTAATAAAAACTTGAGAGAGAGGATTTTCTTTTTTTGTTTAAGGAGGCTGAAATAAAGTGGGTTTTTTTTTGTACATAAATTCACAATTGCAACTGAAAATAATTTTATCTGGTGATTAAGGCAGATATTTGAGAGTGGAGATTAATTATAATGAAACTCTAAGTTCCTTTTAGTTGGGATTTATGTTCCAAATGAAAATAAACCTGCATTTTAATGCACTTTTGGGAAAGTTAATAGACATGTCATATGAAAATTAGTACCTAATGGGAGATCTGAATGCAGTAATCTGCTTACCAAAGAGAACATCAGTAAATGGGATTAAAAATGATACAAGGCAAACTACCCAAAATATTTCTTGAAATCATAGATAATCTTGAATTGATTGATACATGGAGTCTGGTTTTCCCCACAATGTCAAACCTTTTTTTAAAAAATGCAATTATTAATTCCACTCCAAAGTTTTATTTAAGTTTTCACAAAACATACAATTAAAATATCTTTTTTTTGAGAACAGCGTGGCCCCGGGTTATCACTTCTCTATACAGACATAAACTCAATACATATTTATCTTATACATTCTAATCTATATCTTATAACTATTTTCACAATTTTTTCAATAGCTTTTCCCTTTCTTTACTTCCTATAGCCTTATTTTAAATTATCTCATTCCTTTCTTAATTCAATTACATATCCTTTTCTAATTTTTAAAATCTTTCTAATCAATGTTCTTATACTTTCATCTATGCTGTTTACAATTTCATATTATCTTTTCTCATGAAAGAAATTTTCCCCTGTAATTACTAGACTGAAGTGTAACACCTTTGTATCTTTTTTCAAATCTTATTTAAAAATTTACGTTACATCTTTACAGTTATAACATTCATTTTCTAACCTCTATTTTATAACACATACCTATTTTCAATCAAATTCTGCTTGGTACATTCCCTTAAAATACACACTAAATTCTTAAAAGAAAAAAGTATATATGTATATATATCTGTTTTCTTAAGTTTTCACGGGTACTTACATGTATGGTATTCAGCTTTGTTCGGATATTTTCCCACGTCATTATAGTTGTGCTTTTAAAGTTGTAGCAACGTTTTGGCAGAATCTCATTTGCCATCATCAGCCTTCTTTATTGTGTTTGTCTGTGAGTTGGACTTTCACAGCCTTTTCTGTTTTAAATTTGGGGCTAGCCTACTGCTGTGCCAGAATGGTTTTTTCTTCATCCTGATTGGTTGGGAGTCTTGGTCTGTTTTTATTGGTCTTGGAGTTTGCTGTGTTCTGCTTGATTAGTGTTTCTAATATCTTCTGTCTATTTTGAGGCTTTTTTTGTCTTGATTGGCTGGCAACATTGTGTTTCCTGTATTGGAGGCTTTTAGTGCGGCTTGGCTCTGAGTAAATGGATGGCTATCATTTATTAGGAAGCTATGTATATCTGTGTATATATGTATAACAATAGTAAATGGAATAATTATTCTATTCAAGTACAGCTCTGCCATTAATATTAATAACAATTTTTCACATTTCTATTTCTTTTAACAAACATTACCTAGTAATATCAGTTGTCTTTCACTTTAATCATCTATATTTCATATTTTATTTATTACTGTCTTTAAATAAAAAACCAAACAATAGTTATTAACAGTAGTCAATAAAGTTATTATTCTTATTCAAGTTCACCTTATCAACTGATAAAAATCTTCCATGTTTCTTTTCAGTTTTTTTTAAAGTTCTTTTTAAATCATTGAGAGCCTTATTCTCTTTACAAACAAATATTCCACTACACATCAATAGAAATTTTTTCTATCAGTGTAATCATCTAACACATTATATAACAATGCTATCCCATGCACCTTTGCAGAATCTTCTCCTTAAGTTAAATTTTAACCATTGTCTCTGTGTCTTTTAAATAGGTTTATACCTTTAATTCTTGTACATTTTTCCTGTACCTCTATATTTTGTTTTCAGATTTGTTCTTGAACATTCTTGCTATTCTTGTCGGGGAAAGTGCCACCTGTAAAACATCTTATACAAATTTTCTTTATATGCTGTTGACATTGTCATTTTATAATTCTGAGACCACAATTTTTGCCATTTCTCTAAATCAATCCCATATCCAAAATTCTTCCCCCAAGCAATCATAGTTTCTTTAACTTGTTCTTCCTCTAGCTTAATTTCCAATAAATAACCATATAATTTTTTAATCACCTTTTCATCAGTACCTGTCAAAATCTTATCTAAGTCAGTCAATTTATCATAAAATCCTTCTGTTTTAAAATCTTCATCATACCTTGAATGTATTTGCGCATATGAAAACCAATTCATCTTTATACCTTGTTCCTCTAAATTTTGCATCGATTTAAGTTCACCCTTTTCACCCAATATTTCCCCATATCTAACTGTTTGTTCCTTCTTATAAATTATAGGATAGGAAAATGCTTCAATAGTTGATAACCAAACTGGAATTTTCAAATCACATTGTTTTTTAATCTTCTCCCAGTTTAACCACAAAGACTCCCGTATATGATGTCTTCTAAAATAGATTTTAACCCATAAATGAAAATGGTTGCATACCTTTAAATAAATATTAATGAATTTGCCATTTCTTCCTAAATAAATAAGGCTTCTATCTCTGTAGAAGCCTCTGCTGCACGGTGGGTTAGGATAAGGATTTTCAGTTACCTTGAATATTCCTGTGCATCGGAAACAGCACATTTGGGATTATATACTTTTGTTAATGTAGGCTAACTTCACCAATTCTTAGCTATTTTGTAGAAGAAGGAAACCCCTTCACTGCTCACTTTGCTCTCTAATAGTTTGTAATAACTCACTTTAGTTGCAGAGTGGCTACTAAAGGCAGAGTGGCTACTATCTTTGACTGGCATATACAAGGCTGAAATTTGAAACCAAGGAGAACCTTTCGAAAAATGTTTTTTTCTTTTGCTGAGTTAACCAGTCCAGGTGTGTTTTTCTCTGTGTGTGTGTGCCTGTGCACGTGTATATTGTACTCCTCAATAAACCCGAAAAAAAGTTATTTTTTTATGTATGTGTAAAGACCAATTAGAATGCCAATAAAGGAAGCACAGTGCTTTTAAAAATGACAAGATTTGAATTGCCAAATTTTCATCTTGATTGATAGTGCTGCCCTAGTTCATCTTTAACAGCTTAATCATTTTTCTATTACCTCCATCTTTATGCCCATTATTTTAGGCAGAAATATAGAAAATGGGTTGAAATGCCAATATTTGTCCTGAAGACCAAATATACTTCCAATTATTTTCCGATTAAACAAAATCATGGGTTCCTTACTTTAAAAAAATATCTCCAAGTGAAATAATCACTATCAATCTTATAAAACAAATAGGTATCCCCAAATAGGTATGAATAGCACCCAGTATAGATTATCTGTCCATATTTGTCTGTCTATCTCTGCCTCTATAAATGCATAATTATAATTTCAACTTTAGGAAACAGAGTTTTAATAAAGAATATTAATTTTTCTCCTGTTGAATGATCTCTATAATATAGCAGGTACAACTCTGAGAGAGGAGTGAATGAAACAAATAGGTAAGATTAGAGACAACTGCTCATGCTGAATCTGTTAGATTCTACATTGGAAATATTGAGGGTGGCAGATAATCCTTTCTCCCTTCCCTTCCTTCCCTCCTTCATATGCTGGGCACATCATTTGGTCTAATGTTAGTATTTCCGAAAATTCAAGAACATGTAATGAAGAGTTCATCTGTAAGCACCTTAAAAAATAATGCAACAATTAATAGAAGTCTGCTGGTAGTTGAAAGGCATAAGTCTTATAAGAATAATTTTATTTCTCTTTTAATAACTTTATTGGTACATTATAGCAAAGCGGTATAATAATCTATCATATTTCAGCAAAGTCTTTGATAAGGTAGAACACTCTTATAAGCAAAATACTGTAGTTAAGCATAAGGTGGATAATTAATTTAAAACCATTCTCAAAATGCTCTTCAAGTTTGCTTTAATAGTTAGATATCTTAATTAGAACTGTACACTTTAAGGACAAGTTAAATATAGTGTGTGTTTAATATTTAATCTGGTTGCTTCTGCATATGATGGACTCTCATAATTTATAGGCATTGAAGTCCATCACATACAGAAGACATCAAATTGGGAAAATCCATAATTGTTTTCACCACAAATTCTATATTTGCTTTTCATTTCCCCCCTCTTTTCATGTGGATAACAGTTTGTGTCTACTGTGACCAGAAATAAAGTTATAAGAAGCAAATCACGGCAATGTATGGTTATGTAAACAGAATCTATTTTTTGGTAGATTTTCTAGAATCTTTCTAGAAGGATTTTGGCAAGAGTCATGACTATTGCTTCATTATAGAGCAATATAATACTCTGCCCACACCCTCTAGTTGGATTCTACTTTCAACTACTGGCAAAAAAAATCAGTGCTTCTACTGCTTTTCCTCCTGGTAGCAGATCCCAGTATGACTGATTATTTAGATAAGAATATTCCAGGTCATTCAAGATATTAACTCCCACAATTTCATTTCTTCACTGCATAGCCAGGATAGCAGGATGCCAATTGCTGCTCCCATGAACTCTTGTCATGAGTTATATTTATGGAAGTAAACTGAAAAAGAAATTTCCAATATTTTCAAGACACTGTGGTATCTTCCGGTCCTATATCCATGCTTCTAAGAATTAGGAAAATATGGTGAGCATTTTGTTAAGGCAGGCTGCTCCTATTACCAAGCTACACGGTGATCACTGAAAGATGGATGGTTTATAATAAACCAGGCAGAAAAATGAACACCCCCTCATGTGTAGCAGATTCAAAAGATTACATAAGAACAAGGATGAGATATAGTTTTTTGCTTCTTTTCTTCCCACATGATTGGTGTGACAATGGTTCCCTCTAGCCTCAGCTTTCTTTAGAAAGGTTGCCAATACTTGGTTCTTTCCACAGGCCTTTGAGTCAGGCTGTGCTGGAGCTCCAATTGGATGATGGTGTTATTGTTATTCAGATCACCTTTTTAAAAAATTTCTTGCTTTATTATTGTTTGTAGGTATATGTACTGAAATTTGTATTCTTCTTGTTAGGACTTTTGCTTTGGGGGGAATAAGCTACCCAATGTCACCTTGGCTGAGTTGGGCAACCTTATAACTGTTTTAAGTAAGTAAATAACTAAACTTCATTGTGCAGAACATCTCAGGATGATACCTTGGGGCATGTAAATGGCAGAGCAGAAACAATTACCCACAAACTGGGAAATGAAACTATTAGGGCTGTATATCTTGGGTGCTTCATTTCCTTCTGAATAGCTTCCTCAGGGCCTTCTTCATCCTGTCATTCCTCAGAGTGTAGATGAAAGGGTTGAGCATAGGAGTGACCATGGTGTACATGATGGCTGCCAGTGTGTCGTTCTTAGGTGAGAAACTGGATGAGGGCTGGAAATACACCCAGATGACTGTGCCATAGAATAAGGAAACCACTATTAGGTGGGACCCACAGGTAGAAAAAGTCTTCTTCTTTCCATTGGCGGAAGGGATTCTCAATATAGTCATCAGGATGCGTGCATAGGAAAGGCCAACCACCACCAGAGCTCCATTGACAATGAAAGCACCTTCTGAGTGTACTACCAGAGTATTCAGAGCTGTGTTGGAACAAGAAATTTTGAGCAGTGGAAAGACATCACAAAAAAAGTGGGGAACTTGGTTGGAGGCACAGAAAGAGAGACGGGACATCAGCAGTGTATGGAGGAGGGAATGGAGGTGAGAAGCCAGCCAAGATGTTGTCACTAACAGGTGGCATATATGTCTTCTCATCGTGGTGGCATAGTGCAGGGGTCGACAGATGGCCACATAGCGATCCAATGCCATGGAGGCCAAGAGGAAGCTGTCAGTGATGCCAAAAGCAATAAAGAAGTACATTTGAGACAAGCACCCACCATATGTGATCCTCCTCTTTCCAGAGAATTCACCAGCCAACATTTTGGGCACTGTGGTTGATGTGAAACATATATCTACCAGTGACAGATTGCTAAGGAAGTAGTACATTGGTGTATGCAGGAGATGATGGTCCCGTCGGATGGCCAAAATAATGACAAGATTTCCCAACACTGTGATGACATACATGATCAAGAAAATGGCAAAGAGCCATGTGTCACATTCTTGTTGGCTTGAGATGCCAAGGAGGATGAAGTCTAATATGGTGGTTCTGTTATCTGTCTCCATCCTGTTGGAAGGTGAGGACAAAAGGCAAAATAAAATAAAAGGAACAAGAGTAAGTAAAGACATCCTAAACACATGTTTGAGTTCCCTTGCTTGCCTCTGTCCAGTTTTCTTGGCACTGCTCTGAAAGTGGTTACTTATTACTTTCTACAGTATCTTTTTTCAACCTCCCACTCTAGCTTTGATCTTTTTCATCTGAGCCATTTTACATAGGTATTGTCATGCATTCCTTTTCGGTTTTTCTGATATTTTAACCTAAGCTCTTGTTAATTTGGACATTTCTCATTTTGTCAAAACTCCCAATGCAGTTTGTATTCAATATAATTACACATAATAAAACCTATAAATATGTTACTAAGCATATTCTGTTCTGACAATATTTTTAATATGCAAATATTTGTCTCCCATGCATGGAAAAAAGCACCTTCTTGCATAACCAGAAACTCTTATTTTCTTATTATTGGAAACGGAAGAACTGATGAAAAAAGACTCTTATTTTATCAGTATGTGACTCACATATACAGGATACAGACTCCCTCAAGAATATTAGATTTTAAGCATTTGTTATCCCCCAACCATTACACGTAAGGAGCTTTGTTCCTTGTGAAATATAATTGATGGTGGAAAATGAAGGGCAAAGGAAATATATTTACAGTGACTATTCCCTTTCTGCTGCTATTTAGGGTGATATAGTAGTTGTGGTAACTGTTCCTTTTCCTGGAGACCACACAGCAAACTTAGATGGTTTGAAGGAACTAAAGGCATGGAGGAGGGAAAGAATAGAAGGAGAGATAAACAATGGCTGATGAAATTCACTGGCAAGGTTCAAGGATGTAAAGAATCTGAGCATGCAAAGCAGAGGAGGAGAGGTAGTATTCAGCAGGTTCTGACCAGTTTTGGAGGAGCAGTAGTAGAAATTTTGAGTAGTCTAGAGAACCAGTAAATACCACTTCTGACTGGAGATTTTACAGTATCCTTGCCCGCCACACCCACCAAGCCATGCCCACAGAACCGGTAGTAAAAATTTTTTTGAATCCCACCACTGCTGAGGAGCAAAGAAGCTTGTGAACAGAGAATCTTTCATTCATAAAAATATTTCGTAGACTTGGTAAGCCAACACAAACACTGTGTCAATATCTATAAAGGAAAAAAGGGAGGCTGGCAGGCAGACAACCAAAGGGCTAAAGCCTTTCCACTTAGGCTGATCTGGATCCAAATAAACAGTCAATCTATTAATCAAAAGAATCAATTGCAGGTAGAACTGTAATGGGCATATTTAGGTAACTGAGCTCTTTTTAATGTTTCTGCACGTGGTGGAATTTTAGATTTTTTTAAAAAAAAATATCTGGGTGCTAGAGATATTAAAAGGCATTTATTAAGCAATTTATTAGATTGTATCTATGCAAAATGTATTCTGTGTCATTTCATGGCCTATTTTTAAAATAAATTTTGAACCATGGTGAATATATAAAATTCATTCTGAATCAGTGATTTTCACTGAAAGTGGAGCACAGAATTGAGGAAATGGCAAGTGTCCTTATCAATATTAAATCTGAGACATCTGCCATCTACTTCATTCCATACAAATGGAACAATATGCAGATAGAGCAGTAATTTGTAGCAACAATGGAAATAAAATCATTACCTCTCAATCCATCATTACCATATCTTGAGGCACGCCATTGATCACATTGGCCAGGGTTGGGTGACTCTGAACTTATTAGGAGAAGCAGGGGACACGAGAGGTGAGATTAGGTATTGAAATATTACATTAAATATTATATCCTAAATACAGTCCTCTAAGCACAAGTGCTTTTTGCATTCAAAAATTAAACTGATTAAAACCTCTAATCAGCAACAATGAATATATAATATTCTATTATTTGAATTCAGTGGTATTAAACCCAGCTTTCTTTAACGTTAGCCTGAATGTAATTCTCTCAACCCATTTTACCACACTTTAAGGAACAGCATTGACAATAAAATGAGCCGCAGTGGATGGTTCTGAACCTGTTGGATGCACATATAATATTCCTCCATTTGAATTCAGCAATATTAGACCCCAGCCAGCCTTCCAAATGCCTAACCCTGGGATGGTTTTCCTCCCCCCTCAATTTCTTAAATAAGAAACATAAGAGTTTCCTTGATGGATTTTTGCATGACAACTGTTTCATTAGTCAATAATAAACAAGTAATATAGCCTCTCACACTCACCTGAGATCATTGGTGGGTGGTGAAATGGAATCTTGGAAGAGGCAAAAATATCCCCAGTCTGTTCACGTCATATTCCTCTTCAATTTTGGTCCTATCATGGATTTTATTTTCAATAGCTCTATTAATATATGCAGGGAAACAATACCCCCAAGGGGTGCTGTTAGTGAATGAGACAGAGTCAAAACATTATGACCTCTTTTGAGCTGTGGCTCCTATACCACAAGGGAATCAGGAGATGTTTCTGTTGAACTTACTCTTTAAGCTGCAGTGAGTGAAAGACACCGATGTTTCTAACATCTTCCTGTGCTTCTCCAAATCGTTTAGGAATGATTGAACATCGAGGTAGAATTAGCAGGCAAGGCAAACGCTTCAAGTTCTCCAAATCATTTAGGGATGATTGAACGTCGAGGTAGAATTAGCGGGCAAGGCGAACGCTTCAAGTAGTTACCTGAGGAATACATGGAGTAAGGCTGTGCTTGTTTATCGTCATCTAAGAGCTCTTCCTCTCACCCCTGGCAACGGGTTCTCACACTGGTTTGAAAAGTATTCTCCCCACACCCCTCCTTCACCATTTCTCCTCCAGGGATCAGAGATGTGGCTGCCTAACACCCTAAAATGCCAGATAGTTTTAGCGCAGAAACCTGCCCTCTTTCTCCTTCATCTAATGTGGGAAAGATCTACCAGTCACTCCACTGAAGGAGCTACAGGGCAGGATTGGGGACTACTGTTTCCTGTCTCTTTATCCTCAATCAGTTGGGATATTTTGCATTTGGGGTATTTTGGATAGGGAAGGAATAATTCAAGGTCAAAAGTGATGCAGTGAAGCATTTCACTGAGCTGCCTGGTGGCTTCAGCCTTTATTTGCCTTATCTTGGCCTACCTTGCTTCAACCCACCTGCCCAATTTCCCCTTCACAAGTCTGGCGGCCTTCACTTATGATCCAATTCCAATACTGCTGCTGTCAATTATTGGACGTGCCCCTATGACCTTACAGCCAAAGATTCATTCTCAATTTTCTTATGAATTTTAAACAATTAGGGGAACCACAAAACCAGGATGGAGCAATGCTGTAATGGCCTGTTGGCGCTCAGCACATCCCCAATCTCTGAATGTTCCCCTTCCAAGCCTCTAGAACAGGGCTGTCAAACTAGCAGCCCGCGGGCCAGATACATCATGTGCTGGCCATGCCCACATTCAGTTTAGCAAAGGGGGAAAAAGTCACAATACATCATATGATGATGCCGTGACAATGTGAGTTTGACACCCCTGCTCTAGAATATCCGCATGGGGATACTTTTCCAGCACAGTGGGAGGCAACAGTGCTTTCAGCCTAGAGCCCTTCAATCAGGCTTCACCTGTCTTGTCAACAGACTGGTGATCAGATTGAGAAAACATTTTGAAGACAGGCCCTTGAGAAACCATTAACAGGGCACCCTGATACTCCACAAATAGTGCATATGTATGAACCAGTTGAGCAATAATATATTTTTAAATTTTACATACCATCAGAGAAGTGGTGGGATTCAAATTTTTTTACTACCAGTTCTGTGGGAGGGGCTTGGTGGGCATGGCAGGGGAAGGATACTGTAAAATTTCCAGTCAGAGGTGGTCAGGGGTGGGATTCAAATTTTTAACAATTGATTCTGTGGGCGTGGCTTAGGTGGTGGGTGTGACTTGGTGGTCATGTGACTGGGTGGACATGGCTTGGTGGTCATGTTATTGGCTGGGTGTACCCAACTCAATGTCATTCACATCGAGGCATGCATCTCCTTGCCTGGCCTCTCATGACTGTGGAGATGCTGCAATAGTCGTAAGTGTAAAAAATGGTCATAAGTCACTTTTTACAGTACCATTGTAACTTTGAATGGTCACGCCACACAAGCAAAGTACCAGCAAAGGAGGGGAAATGAACTCCAGAGATGTTCCTGAGACAGGAAGTCTAGTCCTGCCAAGAATGTAATAAGGGTTAACGGAGAGGCAGTTTCTGTAAGCAACACCAGAATGTTTCCTTCTTGCCTTCCTTACAGGATTAGGCCAGTAATTTCTTCTAACAACTGGTTCTCTGAACTGCTTAGAATGTTAACAACTGGTTCTAGCGAATAGATGTGAAGTGGTAGAATCCCATCCCTGGAGGTGGTATTTGCTGGTTCTCTGAACTACTCAAAATTTCCACTACCGCTTCTCCAGAACCAATCAGAACCTGCTGAATACCACCTCTGGTTTTTAGATCATCAGCTAGAGATAATATGCCATGCCAACAGGAAACAATGATCTTACACGCTGAAAATCAGTGTGTAGCACATCAGAAATGGGATTTACCTGGTTAGACTTTGGCAGGCCTGTGTATTTTGAACCAAAAAGAAAGCCAAATCCTGATTGCATCTAGTATTATGTCTGAATGGTCCTGCTTTTCTGTAGATGAAAAAGGAATGTGTTGAGGGAGGGTACATGTACATACAGAGAATGTGCCAAAATGTATGCACTTCAAAGTAAAGATTAATCCTTCTTTTAAAAAAATGGAAATACAGGAACAATACAGAGTAAACTGTATGTGAATACAAATAGAGGGACAGAAGTCAAAATCAAGTGTTTATCTCTTCTACAACCATGTCTGAAGGCAAAATGCTCTTCTGTTTTTTCATCTTTTCAGTTATCAAAGAGAAAATGATTGCACACTATTTCTTGAAGGCCTTCAATTTATTGAAGATGTTCCAAAGAGGTGATACAACAAGATGGACTGAAGATAATAACTACCTAACAGAGTGTGCTGAATGCTTCTTATATTAGGA